AGAGGCTGAAGACTGGGGGGTGTCCCACACATTCCAGGTAGGGCAGTGGTTTTATTTAGTCTCGCTTATCACGGTTTGTACTAATGACTGTTTTGTTATGCAGTCATTCACGAGCAGTTTACACTTGAAGAGGTCCGTAGTGGCGTAGGAAAAGAGGATTCATGATGTGTCTAAGGCGAACTCCAGTCTGCGCCAGAGGGAGGTAGCAGCCCAGAAGGTCGAGCAGAAGAGCCAGCAGCGTCTAAAAGCGGTCAAGGGTGAGTTAGAGAGGCTAAAGAGAGAGTTAGCCAAGAAGACTGCCGAGATTGCGTCCTTGAAGGAGCAGTGCCTCTCCATTGCTGACGATGCCATTATCAAGGCACGGGGGGAGCTCATGCTCGAGTATAAAGCAGAGAACACTTCCCACTGGAATTCGGATGAGGACATCCAACTTATGCAGGAGGTGTTAGAGGAGGGGGCTGAGCACACGAAAGAGCAGATTGACGAGCAGATGCTCGATTTTGCTAGTCAGTCGGGACCATCGGTCATTGGGGGTGTGGACGACCAGGCTGCAAGGACAAGCACTGCTGGTGATGGGGTGACTGAGTCGGAGATGGGAGAGATGACTCGCATCGACGACACTTAGCTTTATTTCTGTTCATTTATGTATTTTGGGGCCTACGATGCCCTCTCATGGCGTGTGTGCCTTTTATTTGTATTTCTGAACTAAGCCTATTGAGGCTGTTTATATGTTAAAAAACTCGCTGTTCTGTTTTTGATGATTTCTTGATGGGTGAATGCATTGTTGATTGATTCTTTGCTCATAGATGTACTAGTGGTAGTACTCTTATTTTGTGTTGTGACTTTGGTGGGGCCCATTGGCCGTATTGCGTACTCTCTGCTACGTTGGGTCGATGATTTATCGATTTTTAGTGTCTTAGTAAGAATTCTTCATTCGGTCTGGCTGTTTGGTTGGGTAGCTTTATGAACCGGTCAGAGCCGGTCGACGATGTACATACGTGGATCAGGCAGGCCAATCCGAAGGTGTGACTTCATGGGTCGAGCATGAGCGATTCGAAGGTGTAGATCCATGGATCGGGCGAGGCCGATCCGAAGGTGTGATAACGTGAATCGAGCAGGGTCGATCCGCGGGGGTGATTCCGTGGATTGAGCAGGGTCAATCCGAAGTTGTAATTCCATAGATCGAGCAGGGTCGATCCGAAGGTGTAATTTCGTGGATTAAGCAGGGTCGATCCGAAGGTGTGATTTCATGGATCGAGCAGGGTCGATCTAAAGGTGCGATTCCATGGATCGAGCAGGGTCGATTCGAAGGTACGATTCCGTGGATCGAGCAGGGTCGATCCGAAGGTGTAGTTCCGTGGATCGAGCAGGGTTGATCCGAATGTGTAATTTCGTGGATCGAGCAGGGTCGATCCAAAGGTGTAATTTCGTGGATCGAGCAGGGTCGATCCGAAGGTGTAATTTCGTGGATCGAGCGGGGTCGATCCAAAGGTGTAATTCCATGGATCGAGCGGGGTCGATCCGAAGGTGTACGAATAATTTGATCTAGCGGGGTCGATCCGAAGGTGTGAATCTCTGAATAATACTTTATTAAGTTCGAGCCGTAAGGCCGATTGTCTGGAAGGAGGTGGATAGGCCCACTCATCCCTTTAAAAATAAAAACGAAAAGAAACAAACTTTTAAATGAGTGAGTTCACCTAAAAGTAGTAACGTTTGAGGTGGACTGCATTCCAACTGTTGTTGATGTCTTTGCCTTCCGAGGTTTGGAGTCGGTAAGCACCCTTCCCCACTTCTTTGATTATCTTGTAGGGACCCTCCCAAGTGGGCCCGAGTTTGCCAGAATTGATCTCTCTAGTGTTTTGAAAAACCTTGTGGAGGACCCAGTCGCCAGTCTTGAAAGTTCTGATCCTAACACTACGGTTGAAGTGCTGGGCAGCCTGCTGCTGGTAGATAGCATTGCGGATGCTGGCTCGCTCACAGAGTCCATCGACGGTGTCCAAGTTCTGGCAGAGGTTCTGGCTATTGATTTCTTCATCCGCCCATTGGAGCCTGGTGGACGGCACTAATACTTCGGTCAGGATGACCGCTTTAGAACCGTACGTGAGGGAGAAGGGGGTTTCGCCTGTTGATGAGCGGGCTGTAGTTCGGTAGGACCAAAGGACTCCTTGTAGTTCTTCTGCCCATGCACCATTCGCTTTCTGCAATCGCTTTTTCAGGGTCTGCATGATGGTTTTATTTGATGACTCGGCCTGGCCGTTGGACTGGGGGTTGCGGGAGGTGGAGAAGCTAAGCTTGATCCCCCACATTCATAGAAATCCCTGAATCCTGAGCTGATAAACTGGGATCCATTGTCGGTGACGATTTCCTTTGGTATCCTGAACCTGCAGATGACATGTTTCCATATAAAAGCTTTTACCTCTATATCTCTGACTTGTGCGAAAGCTTCGACTTCGATCCACTTGGTGAAGTAATTTGTCACAGCCAACATGAAGACTCGTTGTCCGGGTGCAGTCGGTAGTTTCCCAACTATATCCATTCCCTACTTCATGAAAGGCCAAGGTGTGATGATAGAGTGGAGTCGCTCGGGTGGGAGGTGCGATATATGAGCAAATCTCTGACAACTATCGCATTTCCTAACATAAGCAACTGAATCAGTGCCTATGGTTGGCCAGTAGTACCCAGCGGTGATCACCTGGTGTGCAAGGCTGCGTCCCCCAGCGTGGTTTACATATTCGCCCTCATGGAGTTCGACGAGAACACGTTTGGCTTCCTCTGGGCTTGTGCACTTGAGATAGAGACTAGAGAATGATTTCCAAAGGAGTTGGCCCTCATAGATGGTGAATCTTGCAGCTTTTGCCCTCAGTTGGCGTGCCTCGCTCTTGTCAGCCGGGAGTTCGTTGTGCTCTAAGTACTTCACTATCGGGGTCATCCATCAGTTGGCTAGCTTAATATCCATTGTTTCTTCCATCAACTTGTTTGGTGGTTGCTCTTGCCAGTTGGCTGGCCATTGTAGGAACAAAAAGGGGATGGATGACTGGGAAGAACATTGAAGTGCTGAGCTGAGGTTGGCAAGGGCGTCAACGTGAGAGTTCTCCGCTCTTGGGATCTGGGCGATAGAGAACTCTTCGAATTGGGACTGCAGTTCTTTGACCAGGTTCAAGTATGCCGTCATCTTCGAGTCGCGCGCTTGGTAAGTACCTTGCAGCTGGTTGACCACGAGCTGGGAGTCGGACTTCACTTCCAGTCTCTTCGCCCCGACCTCTTTGGCTAGGGAGAGTCCAGCGATAAGAGCCTCATATTCAGCTTTGTTGTTCATGCACTTAAACCCGCACCGTATTGCCCGCTGGATGACGTATCCCTCTAGTGTAGTTAGTACTAAACCTAGTCCACTTCCATTCACGTTACTTGATCCATCCACTGAAAAAGTCCACTTGGAGGGTGACCTGTCGCCCATGCATAATATCTCTTCCTCCGCTCGTATGGTGGTGCTCCAGGTGAAATCAGCAATGAAATCTGCCAATGCTTGGGACTTGACGGTGGTGCGAGGCTGGTATGATATGTCGAACTCACTAAGCTCCACTGTCCACTGTGTGAGTCGGCCTAATAGCTCTGGTTTGTGTAGTATCTTTTTGAGTGGGAAGGAGGTGAGGACGATTATGGGGTGGCACTGGAAGTACGGCCTAAGTTTTCTGGAGGCATGAATGAGCGCAAGGGCCAATTTCTCCAGTTGACTGTATCGTGTTTCTGCGTCGACGAGTGACTTGCTAACATAGTAGACCGGTAGCTGTTTCGTGTCTTCCTCCCGAACTAACACGGCTGAGATTGCTGTCTCTGAGACTGCCAAATAGGTGTAAAGTTTCTCCCCGTCCACCGGTTTGGAAAGGAGCAAAAGGGAGGTCAGGTACCTTTTCAGTTGTTGCAAGGCTTCCTCGTAGGAGGGGGTCCACTCGAACATGTCAGACTTCTTGAGTGCATGGAAGAAAAGGTGGCACTTGTTGGCAGATCTGGAGATGAATCGGCTCAAGGAGGCTACCCGTCCTGCCAGACGCTGGATGTCTTTTATGCAAGCTAGAGATGGTATACTGAGGACCGCTCTGATCTGGTCTGGGTTAGCTTCTATCCCACGCTGAGTTACCATGTAGCCCAAGAATTTACACGATGAGACGCCAAATGAACACTTAGCTGGATTCAACTTCATGTTATATTTCCTTAGGACAGCAAACGCTTGGCTGAGGTGGTCGAGATGCTGGTCGGTTACGAGGGACTTAATCAGCATGTCGTCGATGTAAACCTCCATAGTATCCCCGAGGTTCGGCAAACATCATGTTAACTAACCGTTGATAGGTAGCCCCAACATTCTTCAAACCGAATGGCATCACTTTGTAGCAGTAGGTTCCCCTCTCTGTGATGAAGGCTGTCTTTTCTTGATCGTCCAGGTGCATCAAGATTTGGTTGTAACCTGAAAAGGCATCCATGAAACTAAGAAGCTCGTGGCCTGCAGTTGCATCAACCATCATGTCAATATGCGGAAGCGGGAAGGAATCGTTAGGGCATGCTTTGTTTAAGTCCGTGAAATCGATGCAGACTCTCCACTTTCCATTCTTTTTCTTTACCATGATGACATTTGCCAGCCATTCAGGGTAGTGGACTTCTCTGATCATACTGTTACTCAATAGCTTTTCAACCTCCTCATTAACGATCCGGTTGCGCTCTAGTGCGAATTTCCTTCTCCTCTGCTTCACTGACTGGTGATCTGGATCTACTTTGAGATGGTGAAGCATGGCCTCTAGACTTATTCCCGTCATGTTGGCATGGGACCAGGCGAAACAGTCTTCGTTCTGTCTGAGGAATTTTATCAGCTTTTCTCTTGTTTCGGGCCCTAGACGGGAACCTATCTGTGTCTTTCTCTCAGGATCATCCGGGTGTATCTGTACTTCATCCAACTCTTCCATTGATGGTTGATCTGGCTTGGTCGGAAGGGTTGGATGAGACTGTAGTTGCTATGAAGTGATATCCTTGCCCTTGAAGGCGTTCTTGTAACAATCTCTGGAAGCTTTCGGGTCGCCCTTGATTTCTCGTACTCCCCATTTGGTAGGAAACCTGATTGTTTGGTGGAAAGTGGATAGGACTACTCGCATGTCGTGGATCCAAGGTCGGCCCAAGAGAACATTGTAGGGTGAAGGGGCGTCTATCACCAGGAAGATTGTCTGTCTGTTTACTCCACCAGCATAGATAGGAAGGACGATCTCTCCGATAGTGTACTTCTGCTCAAAACTAAAACCAACTAGTAGGGTCGGCCTTCTGTTGATGTTTTCTTCTTCCAAACCCATAGCTTTTACTGATCCAAGGAACAGAATGTTCGCTGATGACCCTCCATCTATGAACACTCTCTTCACAAGAATATTGGCGACCTGAAGAGAGACGACTAGAGCATCATGATGAGGGGCGGCCTGGGTGATCGGCTCATCGTCTTCGAACTAAATTACCTGATGGGAGTGTGACTGAGAAACTGGGTAGATTGACTGTATCTCATGGTGGCTGTTAGCCCTAGCGTATCGTTTGGCTGATGAATAACTTACCCCGCTGATTTCTGACCCCCCGGAGATGAGTGAGTAGAAGCCTTTTGGTGTGGGCTCTCGCGGGGGTGGAGAAGTTTCTTTATTGCTTTTTTGGCTAATGGTGTGCTTTCCTTTATCGGTCAGCAGATCTCGGAGATGTCCCCTCTTCAATAGCGCGGCAACCTCTAAACGCAGGGCAATGCAATCTGGGGTGTTATGTCCATGGTCGCCATGAAACTCACACCACTTGGTTGTGTCTCTTCTTGCTTCGGCGTTGAGCTTGCCTGGCCACCTAACGCTGGATCCCATTCCTTTCATGATCGCCACCACTTAGGCTGGTTCAACGTTTAGGTTGTAGTCTGGTATCTTGTATCAGCTTGATCCAATCTGTCTATTATCTGTTTTGAGTGGCTGACGGTCGTATTGTGGCTGGCAGTCATATGGTTTCCTGACTTTTTTCAAATGACACGCTGGGGGTTGGTAGCGGGTTTCGGTCGGTCTGGCATCTGGCCTCCTATCATTCCACCTTGAGTCGTCCCTGGCGTGGATTACTCGATTCATCTCATCTTCTTCCCACCTTATTTGTATCACCAATCTGGCCAGGGCGTCTTCCATCGTTGTGTAGCCAAGCCTTGTCAATTCTTTGTACAATTCCCCATCCGGGAGGAGGCCTTTCCTGAATGTGTTTACAGCTGTCTCGGGGTTGCAAGCAGGAATGGAAATTTTCTCCTTGTTGAATCTGCTGACGTACTCTTTCAGTGGTTCTCCCCTTTTCTGGTATACTCTGTATAGATCGGCCGACAATTTCTCGAGCTTCTTACTGCTGGCGAACTGCTCCACGAAGGTGTCAGTGAGTTGTGCAAATGAGTCAATGGAACCGTTTGGGAGATTTGTGTACCACTAAAGTGCTGGGCCGGCTAAGCTTGAACCAAAACTCTTACTCATGTAGGCTTCCCTCAGCGCGCGGGGTATGGAGATAGTGAACATCCGTTGTTTATATGAGGCTATGTGATCGTTCGGGTCGGTTGTGCCATCATAGGGCCTCATACTGGGAATAGTAAATTTGTGGGGCATGTCAGCTAGGGCGATTGCATCCATAAAGGGCGAGTCAACATAGCAGTGAGGCCTGCTCTTCTTGGTGGGGATCGGCATTCCTGGTATTCCCCTCATTACTGCCTCCACATCAGCCAATCTCTTAGCCAGTATCTCTTCCATAGGAGAGGGGGATACCACTAGGTCATCCCGTTTGATCGGTTCTGCCATTGCATTCGCGCTCGGTATATTTTGTTGAGTCATTCCCCTTGGTGTAGCTTGGTGGATCACCCCTTCATGTAAATCCTGATAGCCCAGATCGCCATTCATTCCCTCAGATGGGGTGACTCCCATTGTAAATGATCGGGTGTTTCGTCCTACATGGATGGTCAGGGGGGTTGATTGGTATTCGTTCGGCCCGCTAGGATGGATGGATTCTAGTGGTATACTTAGGTTTGGACGGCCGTTCAACCCGTAAGGGTGAGCCGAGCCGAATGGCGTTAGGGATGGACTGAAGGTTAGGTGGAGTGGCAAGGATGGACGGGTCTTGTTGGAACGGGTTTTCTGCCGCTTGGGCGTCTTGGTCTCGAGGTTGTGATGGATCGGTTGAGCAGGGTTCTATCGACAGATCTTTTCCTCCCTAAGTCAGGACCAAGTCCTCTCCCACTGATGAATTCAGTTGACGTGACCTTTTATCTGAAACTCCGGGCCCGTGTTCTGGGGTTTGGAGAGGTTGCATAGATGGAACTGAGACGTGGAACTGATTTGGTGGTACCTGAGAAGGCAAAAGGTCGAGGTCATAAAACTGGCTTACCTTTTCTTTCAGAGACTGGTTCTCAGCCCTGATGAAGGCGTTTTCGGTCCGGATGGCAATGTTCTCAGCTTCCAGTGCGGCTACCTTGTCTGAGTTTTGTTGCATGAGAGCGGTCAAAGCCTCTAGTTTGGCCTTGAGGCCAGGGTTTGCATTGTCAGAATTGTCAGCCATGGAAAGTTCCCCTACGTAGCAAGGTTCGTCGAGCCAGATGATTGCTAGAGGCCCCACGGTGGGCGCCAAACTGTAGACGTAAAAATCTACTGGTACAGAAGGAAGGATTGATCCTATGAGATTGAGGCCACTAGCAATCTGTTGTACTTGTACACGTAAAGAAACACGCGTGAAGCAACGAAAAACACCAAGGTGGTGTTTGTCGTAGGCACTCCGACGCTCAAGTCAGCAAGGCTGAAAGAGGCTAATATAGTGAGGGCTAGGGAGTCGAGAGGTTACCGGAAGTCTTGTCAGAGACTGTGACTACGGCCGTGATGTGAAGCTCTCAAGTAGGAGCTTCGGGTGTGAAGGTGTATTGTAATCTGTCCTTAGTGAGAGGGCTGGCCTCTGTTTATATAGTGATTGTCTGGTCTCCCAATCCTGGTGGGAGTAGGGAGTCCTAATGTGACTCTGATGCAAACCCTAGAAGAATTAGGCCGTGATAAGCTGTCTTACCAGTGTCCAGATAGGAATGTGATTCTGATTAGAAGAGCAACTTCGAGTAGGAAAGTGTTCCGAACAGGAAGGTGACCTCGAATAGGAGATTGCTTGGGAATAGGAAAATATTCTGAGGGCCGTGGGCCCTGATTCGCCCATGGGCCGAGATTGGGAGACTCGTACCTAGGTGGTTTGGGCGGGCTATATCTTGTCCCAAATGGACCTAATCCGGATTGGGATTGGGATTGGGCTTGGGCTTGGCTTCTTCATTGTCAGGCCCGTTTTCCTATTTGGGTCAAGGACGATTTTTGGCCCTAACAGTCCTTTTGAGATTATTTATAGACGACCTTCATAGCATACATTGGACTTCAGTGCCTTTGCCAAAGCTTCCAAGTATGAGCATTATAGCTGAGCATATGATTAATAATGGGACTAACGTCCGTAACAAGGTGAAGAAGAAATTGAAAAAGTCTACTGCAAAGTACAAGGCTGCCGCGAATAAGCATCGAAGATTCAAGTCTTTTAAAGTGGGAGATAAAGTTATGGTTCACCTACGCAAAGAAAGATTTCATGTTGGTGAATACAACAAACTTGAACAACAGAAGATTGGGCCCTTTTCCTGTCTTGCAAAAGATTAGCAATAATGCCTACATTGTGGATCTTCCGAGCACCTATGCCATTTCTAAGACTTACAATGTCCAAGATTTGTTCGAGTATCATGAGTTTGAAGGAGTTCCTTAACAACTCGAGGACGAGTTTCTTGATGTAGGAATATTTCTCTTCCCATTTGGGACTTGATTAGCATTTTTCAATAATTATTTATTGCTATTACCAACCAAAAACTCGGAAAGAAAGAATGCAGATTAGTAAATAAACCTAAGTTTGGATTTAATATACAAATTAACTTGTAGAAATTGATTTAGTAAAAGTCGAGAATCACTGAATTAGTAAAAGAGATTGGTTATTGATGGATGATATTTGAATGTAAAACGGAAAATTGTAAAAATTAGTCAGTAAAATAAAAGGAAAATTTGTCTTGAAGGGTGTTGGGCAGGTGAAAAGCTCTGATGGACCACTTGTAATGAAAATCCCAAAGTTCTTATAGGATCAGTTCTCTTCTAATTCATTAATAATGTGGAAGTTTTAACAACTTGCTTTATGGCCCCAAATACTTTCCTTTACTCAAAATCCCTTTTATTTTTGCGTTACATAAAGCTTGGAGCTGCCTTTATATCTTTTAAGATAACAATTGAATTGGAGATTGAGGTTAAGGTTGAAGAAATGTTCTCCGTACATTCTTATCTTATTTATTTTAAGACAATAATAAAAATTAGCTCACAATCCAATCTTATAAACTTTCATTCACAATTCTTATGTGTCAATTCGCAATTAGTCTTGCAATTACCTAATCTATTTTGGGTAGGGGTTTGTTTTATTGTGCTCCTAAAATCTCTATTTGAATTATGGGGTATACATTTGGTCGGGAGATCTTGAACTTTGTAGAGGACAATCTTCTGAAAAGAAGGTTTTTGGTACACACCAAGGGACGATATTTTCGGAAGTTGTCCTTTTGATCTGGTTTTTTGCATGGCAGTGGAGAAAAATGCAGGGAACCTAACCCAAAAAAAAGAAGCAATTTGCACGAGTTGTGTTTTTTTAATGATTTTTTGAAGATTAAAATTTTAGAAAATCATAAAAAATCACATATTATGCATTTTGGGTCGAGGTTTGTTTTGTTGTGCTCCTAAAATCCCCGTTTGAATTGTGGTGTATGTATTTGGTCGAGAGATCTTGAACTTTTTGAGGGACGATCTTTTGGAAAGAAGGTTTTTAGTGCATACCAAAGGTGTGCACACTAAGGGACGATCTTCTCGAAAGTTGTTATTTCGATCCGATTTTTTGCATGGTAGTGTAGAAAAATGCAAGGAACCTAACCCAAAAAAAGGAAGCAATTTGCACAAGTTGTGTTTTTTTAATGATTTTTTATATATTAGAATTTTGGAAAATCGTTAAAAATCACATTTGATGCATTTTGGGTCGGGGTTTGTGTGGTTGTACTCCTAAAATCCTCATTTGAATTGTGGTGCATATATTTGGTCGGGAGATCTTGCACTTTGTTGGGGACGATCTTTTGCAAAGAATGTTAGGTGCACACCAATAGCATGCACTCCAAAGGCATGCACACTAAGGGACGATCTATTCGGAAGATGTCATTTTGATCTGGTTTTTTGCATGATGGTGGAGAAAAATGCAAGGAACCTAACCCAAAAAAAAAGGAAGCAATTTGCATGAGTAGTGTTTTTTTTAATGATTTTTTGAAGATTAAAACTTTAGAAAATCTTAAAAAATCACATACTATGCATTTTGGGTCGAGCTTTATTTTGTTGTGCTCCTAAAATCCCCATTTGAATTGTGATATATAAATTGGTCGAGAGATCTTGAACTTTGTGGGGGACGATCTTTCGAAAAGAAGGTTTTTTGTACACACTAAGGGACGATCTTTTTGGAAGTTGTCATTTTGATTTGGTTTTTTGCATGGTGATGGAGAAAAATGCAAGGAACCCAACCAAAAAAAAAAAAAAAAATGAAGCAATTTGCCCTTTTTTTAATGATTTTTTTTTTTAATTTGGAAAATTGTAAAAAATCACATAATATGTATTTTGGATCGGGGTTTGTTTTGTTGTGCTTCTAAAATCTCTATTTGAATTGTAGAATATACATTTGTTCAGGAGATCTTGAACTTTGTGGGGGACGATATTTTGGAAAGAAAGTTTTTAGTGCACACCAAAGACGTGCACACCAAGGGACGATCTTTTTTAAAGTT